TTATTTCAATTCCCCCTTTAAACCTCCCCTCAGATCAAAAACAACAACAACAAAAGTAATGTCCTTTCATGATGCATGCACCAACGCAGTAGAGAAAACAGGGAGAAACTCCCCAAAAGACATAAGAAACACAGCCAAAACAAAGACAAAAACAACTCGCAGGAAAAGATATTCCCAAATCACTTGAATCATCAAAGAGTGATTCAGCCAAACCGCACACACACAGACACACACAACAACCACACAATAAAATACCCTTTACGACAGCGCATAAAGGAGATGACACACAGACACAGATTCAGAGAGAGAGAATAATAATAATAAAGGGAGTAAAAGACACTGGAGTCACGCTAGTCCCATTCTACGCTTTTGATTAAGGCGCCACATTGAGACGTAAACTCCCTGATGCTTCTTTTTTTATTAACCCCCTTTTTCACCAAAAAAAGAACTTCATTTTATGAGTTTCGTGTTTTATTTTCCCTCCTGACACCCAAACGGCAATAAGAAACAAACCTCACGTCACGTTCCGGCGCGCAGTGCCACCACCATGTGCAGAGTTGCGCCTGCTGCGATGGGGTATTCCTTAATACGTTTTCCATCCTCCAACTGCTTCCCCTGGTACACAAGCCGTATCATCTTTCCCGGAATGCCCTCTGATTCCTCCAACTTCTCCTTGAGCTCCGCGATGGTGTTCTCTTCATTGAGCGATGCGACCTCAATCACCTTGTTGCTTACCGTCTTCACCTTAACGAGCATAAAATTTTACTTATTCTTTTCTTTTTCTTTGGGGGTGAATAAAAAAAAAAAAAAAAAAAAAAAAAAGAAAAAAAAGGAAAAATGTTTTCTTCCTCAATTCTCTTCTCCTCTTTTTGGTTTCCCTTCTCTTGTTTATATTCTCTTCGTCCTTGGCTGGATCCCCTTCCCCTCTTCCCCCCTCCCTAAAACGACCTCCCTTCACCTGCACGATCCCGCTTTGATGGGAGAGGTTAAACCACAATTAAAAGTCGTGAAAACAAGAGGCAAAAAAAAGAAAAAAAGATGGGGGAAAAAAAAGACAACACCTGTTGGGGTCGTCGGAGGCCGCAGGCTCCAAAGGGCGGAGAAAAAGAAAAGGCTCCAAATGGATCTGGCAGAAAAACAGACCATTTCACATTTTTCATCGGAGACAAGGGTCGAAAATGAGCACAGATACACAAACATACACACACGTGCAGTCATGGAGACCACAAGGGTCCTTCCACGCCTTTATTTTCTAACCCTTTCTTCCAACCTCTGTTTTTTTTTTTTTTAATTTCAGTCGCTTTTCTTATTTTCCACTGCTCTTATCATTTCACATCCCCCTTTTTTTTTCTCTCTCTTTTTTTTTTTTTTTCGTACATTCTTCCCATTTATTTCTCTTCTTCTTTTCCATCGACGCACTTCCGTCTTTTGGTTCCTCAAATCATTCATTCATTCATTTCATTTTTTTCTGTTCTTGATTGCAGCGTTTGTCCCCTGCCCTATGCCAACAGCAGGAACCCTTTAAAAAAAATTGTTTTTTTTTTTTTTTTTTACGTCCCGTGCTCCGCACCCTTCTTTTCTCTCGTGCTGTGATCTCCCCCCTTTTTCACCTCCGGGCCCCTGTCGGCGGTTCGTGAGGCTGAAGACTTCAGTGCGGGGTGGGGAGGGGGAGGCTCCCGCGGTGCGTCCTGTTTGCGCCACAAAAAACTTCCGCGCGGAGCGCCTTCCATGTTCATTGGAATTAAAGGAAATGTGTAAATGGAAATAAAACAAAACGGCGGGAAAAATACGAGTATTAAAGAAAGCAACCACACACACACGCACACATAAATTAAAAAAAAAAAACAAAAAAAGATGAAAATAAATCCCTCTACCTCTCCCCCTTCCCCTTCCCCTTTGTGCACCCAACGAGGGTCAGCAGAACAAGAACAACAACAACAACAGAAAAAATCCCATTGCGGTTAACGGTTTTTCTTTTCTGTTTCTGCCTCCTGGTGCGCCCTCGAAAAACGATGGGTCCGCTGGCCGCTACCTGCAACAAACAGAAGGGCACCAACAATGGAAATGTTTTTCAACACGTGAAAAAGATCCGTGTTACTTATCCTCCCCGGGTTCTCAGGGTCCACGTGGAAGGCAACTGTAAGAAGGACGGTGCTCAACGCCAACATGAAGGCGAAGAAGCATCGACCCACCCCCAACAAAATAAAGAGAGAGAAACCAAGAAAGAGTGCACCAGACGCCTGAATTAAAGTCGTGTATTCGGAGGCGCTAAGTCGATACCCAACGCCGGCCATTTTCAACATCTTGGGAAAGTTGCTCTTCGCCAACAAGGCGGCACTCACCGCGGGGTTGGAGATCTGTTGAAATCCCGATGCAATGAAAATGAGAAGGATTTGAACCAACCCAATATAACGGATGGCGGAGCGTAACGTCATCAGGCCGTGGTTAAGGAGCTCTGCTGCCAAAGAGTAGATAAATATATGTATATGTTTCCTTCTTTCTTTTCCTCGGGTTTTCTTCCTTTGCCTTTAATAATTTCCTAGGAAAGACGTTCCGCGTTACTCTTCTTTTTCTATTGAATTTAGCCACACTTCACTTCTTCTTGCAGCGGAGGCGAAAGGGGCGCCGAAGAAAAGACAGAGAGAAAAGAGAAGGAAAAAGGAACACCCCAAGCAATCAACCAAGAAAAGGTTAGAAACATCAGCACAGAGTGTACGGAAGGGAAGAAAACATAAATAAAACAAAAAGTAAAACAAATAAAAAAAAAAAGGATATATATATATATATATATATATGTGTATCAGAAGTGAATGAAACCAAAGTGGGAAAGGCCTCAGGAATTAGTGAAGAGAAGGAAAAGGGTCAATGGTGGCAGGAAAAAGGGGCATGCACTCCACGGACTCCTACACCGCGTCTTGAAGGAGCTTATCCACCCACGCCGGTACAATCACTGAGGCCTTCCCATAGATGGATTCATCAAATTCACTGACATTCGTTCCCGAATCCAAATTCAACTCCAACGTCCTTGCCCCCTTTTCTCTCGCCCGCGTCACAAATCCCGCTGCGGGGTACACGTTGCCGGATGTCCCAACGGCGACAAAAAGATCCGTTTCTTCCACCGCCGCATTTATTTCATCCATGTGTAACGGCATTTCACCAAACCACACAATGTGGGGTCGCAACGTATCCACTGCATTGCAGCACTTACATCGGCTCGTACCATGCACCACGTCTTGGGTCCAATCAAACACTTCCTCCGTCACTGTGCAACGCACTTTCAGCAATTCCCCATGCATATGCAGCACCGATACAGATCCCGCACTCTCGTGAAGATTATCAACATTCTGCGTCACTAACACAACACGGCCTCCACGGTACTCTCGTTGAAGCTTGGCGAGAGCCAAATGCGCTGGATTGGGTGCGACGCAATCTGAAAAAAGCGCTCTTCGTCGCTCGTTATAAAAACGTTGAACAAGCAGCGGATTACGCAAAAATGCGTATTGGCACGCAACTTCCTCAACGCGGTGATTTTCCCACAAACCGTTCTTATCGCGAAATGTCGATAAGCCGGACTCTGCAGAGATGCCAGCACCCGTCAAGATGGTCACCACCTGACGCCGCGGCCTCATATTCACTCACAACTAAAAAGCAAAAGCAACAAAAACAGCAAAACAAAACACACAAACAAATGTTTCCTAAAAAAAAAAAAAAAAAAGAAAAAAAAAAAAAAGAGAGAGCTGTCGGCGTGAAACACAATACATGACTTCATCCACTGGTCATTATTTCAGACGAGCGACCACAATGACCTCCACCCTCCCCTTTATTCCCCTTCGTGTACTCCACACGTTTCGCGACTTCAGCCCAAGATACACGCTAAGAAAATGGGGAAGAGGCCTCGTTTGATGCAAACGGCCATGCACCATCACGGCGAAGAATCGAAGGCGGGCCGCTATTCACAACGCGGCCCTTGTCAATAACAATCACACGGTCAAAGAAATCAATGTGTGATAGTTTATGCGTAATACACAGCAGCGTCGTGTCTTTCAGGTGGGTGCCCAAAACATGCCAAAGCAACGATTCCGCCTCAGAATTTAGCTGAGATGTGGGTTCGTCCAACAGAAGAAGAGACGATCGTTTGAGCAGCACGCGGGCAACTGCAATTTGATGTTGCTTTCCGCCACACACATTGCCACCGTCAACTATGTTGGAATCCAGACTAAGATCGGCAAGGTTGACACACGCCAAAGCCGCACGGATTTCATCATCTGAGTGTAAACCCAGTGGGTCCACATTCTTACGAAGTGTGCCGTGAAAAATGACTGGATTTTGTGGGATCACATTCAAACGGGTACGAATGACATCCAGCGGCAATTGACAGATGTCGATATCATCAATGGCGATGTATCCCTCCGTCAATTTTACAAGACGAAGCAAGGCAAGAAAAATAGACGACTTACCAGCACCTGTTCGCCCCACAATGGCCAATTTTTCTCCTGCCTCTACATGAAAAAGTGAGGTGTTGCAGCACCTTGGGGCCG